CCAAACCGCACAGTGTGTTTTCACAGTGGCAGCTGGGAGAAAGGGAGGTGACACACGGGGCTGATGGGGCTCTCTGCCTGGATTCTGAGCACGCGTGACATCAGCATTTATATCCCCAGCCTGAGAATTCACAGTATAATGACATGATGATGTCACAGTCTTGTCAATTCAGTTCAACTCTAAAAGCAGTTATTAAAGACCTTCGAACCTGCAAAGATTAATTGAGGAATTACTATCTGCCAATTTGTCCGGAACAGTTGTGTGTCTAAGTTCACACAGCTTCCCCTAACTTTACCCATTCTAAAGGAAGCACCAATTTAAAGCGTGTTACTATGATTCAAAACCTTCCAAAAGTACTACTGTTGATGTCTTAAATGAATCCAACCACAGAAGAAATATATTGCAAGAATATTTCCTTTGTGACCAGAAAAAAATAGCAATTGACTTACTGTCTTCTAGAATCTACTGTTGCACAAAATCCAACATTCCTGGTCAAGAAGGACAAGCCGGAAGTGGCCCGAGGGTGTGTCCTGAGCCTTCACTCAGGTGGTGCCATTCCTCTAGGCCCGACCCCAAGGGCACGTCCTTGTAGATCAGCGGCTCTCAACCTTCCTAATGCTGTGACCCCTTAATACAGTTCCTCATGTTGTGGTGATCCCCAACCATAAAATTATTTTCGTTGCTACTCTATAACTGTAATTTTGCTACTGTTATGAATCATAATATAAATATCTTCTTGTTTTCCGATGGTCTTAGGCGACCCCTGTGAAAGGGTCGTTCGACCCCCAAAGGGGTCGCAACCCACAGGTTGAGAACCTCTGTTAGGTGATAAAGCGAGTTCCTCCAACTGGGTCGTCTGACCAGGGTAACCTTAAGTTTTGCAAGGCAGCCTCTAAGTAAAAGAAAGATTATTAACTTAAGCAGGTTTTATAGCCTTTGTCTGTTTACAGCTACTTGAAGACAAGCGCAAAGCATAGGTGCAGTACAGTGTGATTTGAGCTACCGAGTCCTGGAAGCACCTTTCCCGTCTCATTGTGATGGGGCTGTAACGAACCGAATTGTCACTGCCAGTGCACACTCTTCAAAAAACAGACAAGACTAAGACAAATGTGCAGTGTGGGGCGTCCAGGCCCCCAGTACACGCAAGCCCAGTTTAAAACTTAACGTCTGTAAAATGAACTCAGATTTGATGTAACCCCATGCTTTGGATGTCGGATAAGTTACAACGTCAAATTCCCCTGAAAAACTGGTTACCAAACAAGTTAAGTTCAAAGTTTATTACATGGAGTGACATGCTGAGATAGAAACGAAAACCATGAAAATGCACATTAATGAACTGCTTTTGTACAAGAGACGAAGCTCAGACTGTGTCTCGTGAGCCTCAGACAGGGCTGCCCTTCAGTTGATCATTGTGTTTGTTACTCAGCAGCGTGCAGGGACTGCGCTTTTTGTGCAGGACCATTCAGAGGCCAGCGTGCGTTCACGAGCCACTCTGTCCCTGTCCCTAGACACCGGCCACCAGAACGCGCCTAGCGTTCCTTCGTGGGGTCACAGGGAAGGGCTTCAGACACGTCATTATTTTATCTGCCCCGGGAAAGTGAGGCTGTTTTCAAAGGTTATCCTCTCAGTGATATTCTGTGAACTGTATCACCAAAGACAGGAAAACAGTCGGTAAATTCTAGAAAATCCCTATGTACTTAAGTCCTGTTTACTGAAGGTAAAACGATTTGGAGATTCTAAGTCATTAGACTTCAGTCACACGCACAGCCTCTTAAGCAGAACAGGCGAAAAAACCCCGCAGGGGTTACAGCCAGTGCTGGGAGCCCTTGAAGGCCTGGAGTCCGGAGGGGACGTCTGGAGAAGAGATTGAAGGACCAGGGCTGCGAAGAAGCCAGCTCGTGGGCTGAAGGAGTGAAAGGGCATTAGACACAAGGCTGTAATCATCTTCTTGACCTTTGCTTTACCGCGAGCAGAACAAGAGGGCATGTGGTCAATGACCCAACACGAGGGCGTTTTTGGACGGGACGCCTAGATGACTGTGTGATGTTGTGAAGTCTTTTCCACCAGCGGCAGTAATAATCAAATAAATCACGTCTGTGGGAGCGAGGCCACGTTTCCGTTCTTGGTTTGGAATAATGGCACCAAATTGCAGCTCAGCGCAATACAATTTGCGATGGTCCCAAGTGGAGGCAAAAGACACCGGCTCAGCCAAGTCCCTGGAGCCGGGAATGAGCTTTCCCCCAAGTGGGCTGCGCACTGTTCAAACACAAGCAAAGAAATCCAGTTCTGCAAACATGACGCCACAGATTCACTAAGACAATGTTTTGAGATCTGGAACACGAGGAACCCCACATCATCTCACAGTGACCAGACGACAGCCAGCTCAGGGGTCGCTGGGGGGTTAGCTGAGCTAACGTTGGTTGAGGCCCTGCGGAGCTCTGTTCTTCTTATCCTAAACGGATATGCTGCACGTTTACATACAATTTGTGCCAGCTATTTATTTTTACTGATGCTAACAACACGTACGTAAGATCTGAAAATCTAGTAATATGCAGTGCAGCTCTCAGCGTCTACACAACTAGAAAAATCAGTGTCCAACCTACCAAAACGCTAACCAAACTGCAGTAAAAAGGTCTTTGCTTGGGATAGCAAGGGACTAAGAACACGAGGCATGGGTTTTCTTTTCTTTTCTATTTTTTTCAATATGGTGTGTTTTGGAAATTTCCACTGTTCTTTTAGTTTACTCATCAGAAGCCTCTAACAGAGGGTCAAAGGGAGGGTCCGAGAAAGGTAGGAAATTTGGGGCATGTGGGGTCATCACGCTCAGAAAGCAGGATTTCCCAAAGCCCCGTGAAGACTTAGAAATTTCACGTGATAATTCCAACTGGATATAATCAATTCAGGGTTGGGTTTTTTTGTTGTTGTTTTTTTGTTTTTTATTGTAGGGCTTCAAAGCTTTGCAGGTCAAGGAAGTATGTTTCCCCCAACACTTGGAAAACACACTTTCCTATAGGTTAAAAATAAAAAGTAGTGGGAGTCCTTCCTTTCCACTATCTACCTGAGTTGGGCAAATTCTTTTTATTTCCCAAAACCACAATCTCAGATTTCGTTTTGCTCTTAGAATACAGCGTGAATAAATTTACCACCTCTGTACCTTATGATCCGAGTTACATGGAAAACACAGCTCATAGCTGAAGTGACTTAACACGGGCTGTTAGGCGGTTCCACAATTGTTCCCCACATGAACCTATACACCGACCTTACAATCTGGTGAAGGCTCTCCTGGGCATTTTTACCCCACAGAAGTGAAAACTGATGTACACAGAGATATTCGTACACCAGTGTTCATCACAGCTTTTATTCGTAATAACCCCCAACTGGAAACAGCTCAAAAAGTCATTGAGTGGGTGATGGGTTACACAAACTATGTTATACCCACACATTAGATGCAGCAATAAAAGGAATGAATGACTTGGGTGGTTCTCAAGGGTGTTATGCTCAGTGAGAAAGAGCCCATCTTAAAAAGTGACATACTTAGTAGAGTGACTGTGGTGGTAGATAACACAAACCAACACAGGAGATGAAACTGTATAGCATCACACAAACACACACACACACACACACACACACACACACACCACACACACACCACACAAACACGCTCACACACACACACAGTCTTAGTCCCTCGGGCTTCTGTAACAGAACTCCACAGACTGGGAGGCTTATACATAAAAACAAAACAAAACAAAACAAAAAACAGGTATGTGTTTCTCACAGTTCTGAAGGCTGGGAGTCCAAGATCAAAGTGCTGGCAGATTTGGTGTCTGGTGAGGGCCGGATTGCTGGTTCACAGCCGGTGCCTTCTCGCGGTGTCCTCACACGGTGCAAGGGCTGAGGGAGCTCTCTGGGGTCTCTTATAAAGGACCGACCTCACCATGAGGGCTCAGCCTGCATCACCTCCCAGAGGCCTCACCTTTGTGGGCAAAACCCAGGAGAGGAGAGCAGCCCTGGAGTTCAGGCCAAGCTTCCCAGGTTGTTCGGACCCACCCGCGTTCAGGAGCAGAACGTCCCACGAGTGGAACAGCCCCGATTCAGCAGACGTGAAATCCCGGCCCTCCATAACCCTTCCAGGGAGGCGTGCTGGGCTGGGCTCTCAGGGAAGACACAGGGTGTGTCTATGTCCTGTTGAAGGGACGCCTTCCCCTGGGAGGGGAAAGCGCGGGGGCCTGGTACTGAGGGGCTGTGGGCATGGGGTGCCATGCTCAGCTGCTGTCTGGCAACGCCAGCCGCCTGCACCTGGAGACTGTGAGGTCCAGGGAGGGAGGGATGGTCCTCGCCAGCTCTGCCCAGGCCACCCACGGCCACTGCTGGTAACTGTGCTGACTGCACGCCACGCGGGTAAGATCATTCGCCTGTGTTTCCAGAGCAAGGGCCCCTTTGATGTTGCTGCACGTAAGCCAGACATAAACCATTGGTGAGAGGAAGCAGCTGGCGGCCCCCGCTTTGTCAGAATTTGTTTTCAATGCGTGTGAAAGGACTAATCACGGTTGGGCGCTGTGTGAGTTTCCCATCACACCGCGCGGCTGTGAGCGGAGCAAATCACTATGTGGTTAACGGGACTTCACAGAGCAGCACAGGGTGTTCGGGCGACAGTCACCGACACTGCTTCCTGTGGAGTGTTCCGCAAGGCTGACTGTGCAGAGCCCTGCAGGCCCGGCACGCACGAGGAGGAGCTCAGAACGTGGTGCTGCATGAAGGGGCCCTCTCCACTGGCAGAATTAGCCGCTACCAGATGCTACTGAAAATATGGCTCAAGTGTGTAAGACAGAGTCCTCAGATAACCCCTCAGGGCTCCCATAACTTTAAAACGACGATCTCTAACAAACTGGAATACTGGACTGGAGAGAAATCAAGACCCATCAGCAGCAGGAAAGACAGCTGTTCTCCAAATGCACCAAGTGCAGCATCTACTTGGAACGGAATTAGAGGGCCAGCGATTGAAAAACACAGGTCACAGCACCTTTTATTTGTCATTATACAAACAGAGGGGACACGAAATACAAGCAACTTCTCCAAACAGTTTTAATGCCTCCCACAGGCCAATGGGACGGTCGCTGAAACCGCCTTGAGATGGGAAGCATGTGCCGCACATCTTTGGACACCATAGCTGGAAAAAACATGTAAGGTCCGTGAATCCGCCTTCCACGCCCAGATTCTCCCGTGGGACAGTGAGGTGGCCCGGAGAACATACCCAGAGGCCCAGGCTCCTCACCACGGGGCTCCCCACTCAGGTCAGATGGCCACACCCAGGGGTCCAGCTCGGCCCACAACCACACATTACGAATTCACAGCCCCCAAAATAAACTATCACAATTTATTAATTTAGAATGACCAAGACAGAGTCACAGAGTTTGGTGGCTCCATCTAGTGTCTTCCTATAGATACAGCTGTGCACCTGACATCAGTTAAAAAAATTGAATGCCTTCCATCAGCGAACAGTGATGTACGTGCAGAACATTCTAGCCGATGGCTCTTTTGGCTGAAGAGAACTTTGTATGTTTGCTGCCCAGTTTCTTACATGCAAATTCACAGCAACTGTCTTAAGAGAACCTGCACCCAGTTTGCCTCCACAGTAACCCTATTAAGACCAAAAGCGTCTACAGGAAACTTAGGAGTAAATCCCATTTTTATTTAGCATTCTCACTTATTATAAAAAGAAACAGTATTATGCACCTGTTATTTAAATAAACAGTGGTACTACACAGGGGCCACACAACCTAAATTAGGTTCTTTAAAACCATCTGATGCATCCTTATGCTAGGCAGAAAAACAGCTTCTTTAAAAAAATAAAATTGTGATTTAAAAGGCCTTTATTTCACAGGTAAGAGGAATAAAAGGTAAACGCTAGCAGATGTTTAATCATGTTTGAATTCTTTACTTGGTCATTTGTCCTTTATAGTCTGCAAATGCAAAAAGAAATTGTCAGTGATTTAAAAAAAATATCTGAGGAGCCCTGGCACCCTGGGTTAGTCCACGGATGCCCAGGCCCCTTTTATTTGGAGAATGGAGACAATGTTTTAGAAAATCTATCACCCCTTGCCCAAGTTCTTTTGATGAAACTAGTATGTAAAAAGCAGTTAATTATATACATAAATAACATAAAAATAATTATCATAAGTTAAAAAGTCAAACAATCTCCCACAATTAATCCAACTGAGAGGTGAGAGCTGAGAGTGAATGAAGATAGGAACTCTGAAGACCTCTTTCGCACGCTGCCTGGGTGATGAAGTTCCTTAGTTTGTGAAGGCCTGTATTGCACAAAACAAATTCTAGCCCTAACCTCAAAATCTTGCTATTTGGGATACAGTGATGTGCTGAGAAAGCTGCATTTTGCGTAACAAATCGTCCTCAGCAGCACTGGTTAACACAAGAAAACTCCGGCCTCATTTACCGGCTACTGACTCATAGTCAGTACTTCTTCAAGACGGTCTCCTAAATCAGATAGGATCTGGGACCAAGAGTGGTCAATGACAAAATAAGGCCAATTTATCAGTTCATTTTGGACAGCGTTACAAAATATCGGGGGCGGGGGGTGGGGGGAGCAGGCAGCAATCAGACTTCATTCCCCACAGCTGTTTGCGTGGCTGAGCGTCAGCAGGGCCGGCTGCTGGCGTTTCAGCTTCAGCCACACCTCTGAGATGGCTGCACGTGTGAGAGCACGTGTCCCGGAAGCAGGGCGGGTTGTCCTTTAGCACATTCACTTAGTCTGGGCATCGATGCTTCTAATGTCCTCTGTTTTCACTGCTGCCTGGAAGGACACTGCGGTGTCTTCGTATTCCAGAAAAACCTATGCTTTTCCAGCGTGGTAAAGAGCCAAGCTTATTCGACACTTTTATAGAAAATTGGTCTTGAAACAAATCAACCTTTGGAATTAATGTTTAAACAGAAAGAAACATGAATTCCTTCCTTGTTCTTCATTTCAGGGGGTTTTGGCTGAGCCTCCCTTAGTCAGAATAAATACATCTGGATGGCAGGGGATCCCGAGAGAACCCCGAAGGTGCCTGCAGCAGGGGCAACACAGCTTCCTCGGTGCACGACTTGGTGCCCCTTTGCCTTTGGGCGGTTGTGCAGAGCTAGACACGGACGACAGTCCTACAGTGCAAACGACGTTAGCATGTTAAAAAAAGTCAAAACAACATGGCCACAACAGTCTTCAATACACAATATATGCTTGAAATAAAGTAAAAAAAAAAAAAAAAGGAAAATGCTTCTGAAAATCAATTCATGTAGTAAATGACTCAGAGGCCTTTCTGCCTGAGTCAGTGATGTCATGGGCCCCCTTGCCCATGATGGACATGAGGGCCAAAGGACGCCTGTATGCGTCACAACCATCTTCACACACGTGGTTTCAGCCCAGAGTTGTGAAACAAATTTAACTCAACTCAGATTTCAAAGAAGAGACTAAATGTCACTTTGACGCCTACCTGCTCGTTTGCAAAAACAAGCAAGAAGGAAGCTGCATTTCATAGCAGCATGCTGCCTCGCAGGAATGCTGTTTTGATACAGTAACTGAGTTCTAAAAAACAAAATAAAATGAACCACTTATGCTCCTAATAACACATCACTTGCCTCTTCCGATCCTGCTTCTCTTATGTTGCACTTTCCAGAACCCCGAACCCCGTGTCCGTCAGACCCAGTCTGTTGGGGAGGGCTGGGACGTGGCCACGGCCAGACTCACCGTCCGGCTAAGGCGGAGCCTGCAGCCTGTGCCGTGCACAGCAGGCTGGCCAGGGCTCTCTCTGCGAGTCGCGCTGACTGACTGTAATGGTTGCGCGGGGATGTGGAGATAATTCTGCAAAAGCTAAGTCAACCTTACTTACATTGCAACATTCATTTTTCTTCTTTGTTTGGTATCCAGCAAACAAATCTCAAATATAAACCAGAAAGCCGGGGTGAGGCTCTCTCTGAGCCCCCCGCCACGCAGCTCAGTAGCTGTACATCTGCTGCTGCTCGGCCTGCACCGGGGGCTGTGCGGGCTGCGGCTGGGGGGCCTGTGGCTGCGGGGGCGGCAGCACGTCAGCCTGGGGCACTGCCCGCCACGAGAGCGGGTGCTGGTCACTGAGCTGGTTGCCCAGGGGCGTGATGGAGTTGACCAGGGTGGTCAGGTTGATGAAGTGGGCCACAGACTGTGGGTTTGAGGCTTCCGGCTGGGGGTGCAGCTGGATGTCATTTTGACGGTTGTGCAACATGGCAGAGCCGCTGACGGTGTCAAAGGTCACGGTCAGGATGGAGTTGTCCAGCTGCAGCTGGCGTTCTGGGGTGGTCAGGTGCCCAACGGCCACCGGCTGGAGGTTGGTAAACTGAGTCCCAGCTGCAGTGGTGATGGGCGTCACGGTGATGTTAGTCAGGCCGACCGAGCTCGAGGGCGTGGTCACGCTTGGGTCACCCAGAGTCACCACCACCTGCAAGAGTCACACAACGTTATAGGTCCTGCAAAATGGAGACGGCAGGGGCTTCCCTTGCGGCACCTGTGACGGAGGCCAGGGTGTCATGCCAGAAGTCCTACGCCCAAAGGGGGGAGGCAAAGCATCCTTTAGTGAAAGAGTAAGCCAAGTTAATTTTGTCCCAGAACAGTCACTCTAGTGAAAAAAAGCAACAAGATACAGACACAATCAGACAGACCATTAGGGAGAACTGAGAAACAAGTGATTTCACTGGGTAGGAAAAAAATAACGTACTAACAAGAAAGAAAGTATAGTCTTCACTGTCCATTCATTCCTCTAAAGTGCCTTGCTGGTGGTCAATGAGAATCCCAAGAATAACGCTAAAAAGGGCAATGGACAAATCTGCAGAGGTTAGCAGCTAACAAATAACAAAGAAAGCAGCCTTCCTCTCAGGCAGAGGGATGAAAGGCCAAATAAAGGCCAAGGTGTGAGGTCAGGACAGGCGCCCGGCTGGTATCAGACACACACTGATGAAAGACTTGGGGCCGCAAACCCAAGAGACGCAGGCTGAGCAAATCAAAGGTTCCATTAAAGGAAGCAGGCCGGCCGGCCTCCTTCCCTGCCGCCAACTCTCTCTGGGCAGTTCCTCTGCTTTGCAGGGTCTCCTCTCCCCGCCTGGCCGGCAGGGGCACTGCACCCCACTTCCACATACTCGGGCCATTTATGATCTCCCGACACCCAGCCGGGGGAGCCGGCTCTCCTCATGCACCCGAATGTCAGTTGCTATTCCCAGCGACAAGTGTGGTGTCTAGGTCTACGCTGGGAAATGCTGAGGTGGAAGAGTGGGACATGGCAGATGGCACCCATGGGCACACGCAGACCAGGCTGCGGGGACAAGGGAGGGAGCGGGCACGGGAGGGACCCGGTGCCCAGGGCCGCTGCCGCCCACAGTGACTGGGCCCCCGATGCCAACACAAGAAACAGGGTGACCTGCTGGATACTCTGCACGGCAGAGTCGGTCTCGTCTCCCACGCCGCCCGTGAGCGCGGGCTCCTTCTCCGAGTACTCGCTGAAGGCTGCGTCCTCGGGCAGCGGCGCTCCCGCGTCCTCCTCCGGCTTCTGCTTCCTCTTGTGAGCCCTCCTGGCCGCATTCACGGGCTTCCCTTCCGCCAGATCTTCCTGCTCCAGACTCAGTTCAGGCTGAAGGAAAAGGCGTTTCAGCAACACACGCGCCAACGGGTTGCGTCCCGTGGTGGCTGGCGTGGTCCCGGCACCGTCCCCGGGCACACTCCCAGGTCAGTGCGAGGCTCCGGCTACCAGGCTGCCATAGGAAACAGTGACCACAGCTTGTCTGCCTACCTGCATTTCTCAGGATTAGGGCATGTTCCTGCTGGTCTCAGTGGTTTTTGTTTTGTTTTGTTTTTGTTTTTAAGTGAAAGAAATGACACACAAGTCATACTTTCAAGAGCTACATGTTGTGCTGAAACACAAACATCTCTTAAAACAAATTTTTTGAGCCACCGTTTCAGCCCTGGTGAGCTCAGCCTGAGGCCAAAAATGCTTTCACATCAGGTGCTCATCCCCAGGGAGACTCAATCTTGTATCAAAACAGTTTGATAAGATCTGGACAGTCACCTCCTTTGGGGACAGCAAATAGGGCCCTGCTGTCACCGCAAACCCAGATTGGTGCCCCACACTCTGCGAGCTGCTGCACCGGGGCCAGTCTTCTGACCCACAGCTAGGCTCACTCAGAGTCACTGAGGCCACTGGGCAGTGGTGGCCAGTGAGGTTCTCCACTCTGGTCACCCACCACCCTTCCCAGGGGACTTGGTCCCACCAGTGACAAAGGAAGCCTGCCAGGGCATGGCCATGGTGGGACGCCCTTGTCAGGGGTGGACGTGGGACATGGGCCTCTGGCATTGCAGGGAGGTGGGGCAGGTGGGGCACAGGCATTCTCACACTCGCTCAGTGCAAGCCTGCACCTGAGTATTGCGCTCAAATCAGTTTCAAGAGAAAGGCATATAAATGCAATTGAAAAAGAACTGCGAACCTGGCATATTCTCTTTATATAAAAGGAAATTTTTATAAAGAGATAAACTGAAAATACCTGTAAGAAGTAGTTTTACTTATAACAATTTAATTATACTAAGCCTTTCTGGAAACAATTTCTGACCACTTATGTTAAGTGTTAACTTGGCTGGGCCATAGTGTTCAGTTGTGTGGTCAAATACCAGTCTAGATGTCACTGTGAAGGTATTTTTTAGATGAGATGAACATTTACATCAATGCACACTGAGTAAAGCAGATTACCCTCCATAATGTGGGTGGGCCTCATCTATTCAGGTGAAGGCCTTAGGAGAAAAGACTGAGATCTCCCTCCCCCACCCCCACCCCCAGGAAGAGGGACTTCTGCCTCCCATCAGCCTTCAGGTTCCAGCTGCAGCATCAACTCCTCCCTGGGTCTCCAGTCTGTCACCTGCCCAGCAGATTTTGAACATGCCAGCCCCCACATCACGAGCTGAATTCTTAGTGACTCTGTCTCTCTACACACACATTCACACACACACATGCACACTCAAACACACACATGCACACACACTCACCCGCACACGCACGCACATGCAACCCTATTCACTGTTTCCCCTACAGAACTCTAATATCCATCTACTCTCCAAAATAAGATACACCGGTATTCATAAAGCTGAAGTATTAGAAATTTACAGAAACTGAAAGACTTGGGGAGAAGACTGACCTTAAAGATGGACAGCGAAAGGATGATGAGATGGCGGAGACTGCGGAGCTTCCCAAAGGTGCCGGGTCACCTGGCCCAAGCCCTGGAGGCCCCGCCCACCCCGTAGTGTCTGCGCATCGACATCCTGTGAGGTGAGGCCCCGCCCCCCGCGGCGTCAGCGTTTCTCCCCGTCCCGGGCGATGCCCCGCCCTGCAGGGTCGCCCTGTGCTCACCTGCACGATTCCGATAGAGGAGGCGTCGATGGTGGTGGTCTCTGGGAGGTGGTCCAGGTCGTCGATCCTCACGGCCAGGACCTGCGGGGAGCACGGGGCAGTGAGCCGGGACGACTCTTGTGACCCCCTCATGGGCGTCCCCCGTGTTCCCAAGCTCAGGACTGACCTTGACACCTTGTTTCCTGAGCGGTCCAGACCTGTCCTCCCCTCCCCCATCTGCCCTCATCTCAGGTGTCCGCAAAGCTCTTGCACACGGAGGGTGCCCCCAGTACCTGTGTGGGCATCACCTCATGCCACCCACTCACACTGTATTGCCTCCCTTTTCTGCCCCACACTAATGCGCTTTCAGTGAGTGAAATTTCAGTGAACCTTATTATTTCAAACCAAGAGAAGATGGGATAAGATATAGCACAGTAAACCTGTCCCATAAGAAACCACCAAAAATGAGAGATTTACACCTTACACGCTTTACTTCTATGCTTGACACGTGTCCAAGTATTTTCGCCCCGGCCTTCCCTCCATGAGCCACACTGCGTGGCCCTGAGCGTGCAGAGGCCACGCTGTGCCCACTCCCCATGTGCCCACACGTCCCCCCACCAACCAGGTCAGGGGTGTCCCGTCCGATGCTCGTCCACGAGACTGTTTCCGCCAGTTGTCCCTGCTACTGTGGTTATGTAAGTGAATTAAATCCTAAGTGAGACAACGGACCACGTGTGCGGAGCGAATGAATACTCTGAAAAGGCGTAATGAAGTGAGTTGCTAAGAAAAAGGGAATTAGCTGTGGGAAAACTATACAAGACTGGGGAAAACCATAAAAGTCTGTGTGTAAGGGCTCTTCGCCCCAGCATCTTTGTAAATATCTTTAAATTTTTGCTCAACTAAAGAAAATAAAAATGGAAAATTAAGAATTACACATTGTGGGTGTGGCTTATTTAAGAAAGATAACGGGAACTGTGGGCTTTGGACTCACGTTCAAAGCCAGGGGCTGCGCCCATCTCTGACAGGATGGCAAAGTGGTGGTGCATGTTTCAAGTTAACATAAATACTGATGGTGGCACTGAGGTCCCAGGTGTGACTGTGACGCTGCAAAACTGAATAAAAGCAGGCAGATGCCACGGATGTGTTTTCTACCCGTCTCCACCACTGTCACTGTCACCCCCGTTACCATCGCCATCATCATCATCAGTATCCTAGTCACACAGTCCGGACACTGATGCCACAGAAGGACAAGCACGGACGCCTTCATTGGCTTTGCTCTTAGTAGGAGATAAGACCATAAATGAAAAGTATTTTTTTCTGTTTTGTTTATAGTGAACATTCATTCAAAGCAGAAAGACCACAGCTTGAAGTCATCCAAGTGTCGATTCTGATAGATTCTACATATGTGAAGTCGTTTATGCCCAATGGCTAAACGTTAGTCGGCCTCCAACGACCCAGCCCCCAGCCTGTGGTTGGCACCCGCAGGCAGGCTGCGAGGCTCTTGCCCAGCCAGGCCTCGGTGGCAGCGCGTACACCACAGCAGACACCCTGCCCGCCCCTCCCGCTGCCACGTCCTCTGTCCGGGTCACAGCATCCACGTCATCTGCTCTCCTCTGCAATTACTTTACCTCTTGTCTACTCCCTCCTTTCCCTTGTCTCCTACTGGAGACTGTCACCTCCAGGAGGTGGGGGCACACCCTGGCTGGCTGGTTCCCCAGCACTCATCACGAGTGGGCACTTACCATGTGTCTGTCTGAACCAACATGGAATGAAACAACGGTGAAACGACCCACAGGGGTGTCCCAGACAGAAGTCTGGAGAGACAGAAGGGGCTAAGGAGAGTGCCAATGACAGCGGGGCCGGCCCAGCACTGTCTGTACCCTTCGCCAGCCAGTGTTCCCCTCTCTGCAGCCAGTTCTGCCTGAGATGGTTGTGCCTGAGGAGGTGATGGGGAGCACACTGCCCCAGCGTGACAGGCAGGCACAAAAGATGACCTCGCAGCTGACCAAGGCGGAAGTGACCATTGCCCCTGGTAAAGCCTTGCTGGACAGAGACATCTGCTGGGCCGCTCTGTGTTCATTCGCCAGCCCCCTCTCCCTCTCGCATACCCCGGCTGCAAACACAGACTTGCATACGCGTCACTACACTGAACTACAGACCCACAGTGACAGAGCGGCGCCAACTCCAGACCCTCATGTGTCCTGGGGTGAGTCCGCAGCGCCCGCTCTGGGCCCCGAGCCCTGGGCGACATGTTTGCTTACACTTTATGTCCTGCCCCCGACTTTGTTTTTCTAATTGGAAACACTGGCTGGGATCAATTGGAGGAACTCCAGCTCCATGTATCAGAGTCTGCGGGCCGGGCCAGGCCCCTCAGAGGACTGGAGAGCTGGTGACCACGCACGGCTGGAAGGGACCTGATCGGGCCACGGAGGAGAACATGGCGAGGCTCCGGAAGAAAACGATGCACTTATCCTCCCCAAATTAAGGCAGGTTGTGCTATTATAGTTACAAAAGTAACTCATGTTCATTAAAGGAAATTATTAAAAACAGAAAACTATGAAAAAATGACTCACAGCTTCGCCCCCGGGGAGAAAGGCACTGTGCAATGTTTCCTTCCTTCGTTTTCTCCTCTCATTTACATTATAAGGTGAGTACTGCAGACACACACACACGTGTATGACGCCTACAGTGTACACACAGTGTATACTGCTTTTCCACAACTTTATTTAGAAACCTCTGTGCACGTTTATAGAGCCCAGCACCTTGCTGAACGAGCACTAATTTAATCCATTCCTCTTGTTGGACACTGAGGGGTCCAAAGACTCATTTATAAAGCACTGGGCAGACACCGTCAGGCAGCCTTCTGGGGGGCACCCGTGGCCGAGGGCAAGGCTCGTGCCAGCCGGCCTGTGCAGTCACTCTGAATCTAAAAGCCTCTCGCTCACTCCATGGAGGAAGGCTGCCACGTTCTACGGTGGATGTGTGCGTTTCTGGGGCTCAGTGAGACTGGCTGCTCTGTTCCTGTTTTCCTCTTTCATGAACCGCCTCTCCATGTCCACACTGCAGCCTGCGTTCCTCTCATGGAATGGTTACCATCTTTAATAACAAAGTTTCATCTGTTAATGGTATAGTATCTTACGCAGGTTTTCCAGTCTGCCCTTGGTTTTTTATTCCTTCTGACTGCAGAAGTTCTGAGTCACGCTGCTTATGTAGTCAAATCTATGGGTGTTTTTGTTCACGACTTCTTTCAGTTACGCTTAGAATCTTCCCCTTTCAGTGGCCTGGGAGCCAAGGACCTGCTTTTCCTTCTGTATTTCAGTTTGCTTCTTTCTAAAGCACCATGAATTATTTATTAATAACGCCCCAGACCTTCCTTGAGAACAAGCTTCAGTCAGGACCGACTTACCTCTATAATTGCTCCCTCTGGCCCTCAATGCCACCCTGTGATCAGCCCCCACCATCACCTGGAGGCTCCCCATTCTGTGCATTTTATGAGTTACTCCAAAGGAAAGAACAGGGGAGGGGGAGGGCTGTCCTTCCATCTTGCTGTAATTCCAGTGACCATGAATTTATAACCTTAGCAAAATATGCGAGGCTCTTCTATTCCTCATTCATTCAGGGGTTCCTATGCGCAGGCACTGCGATTCGGGGAAAATGCAGACCCAGGCCCTGCTTCGGGGGCTTCGGGGTCCGCAAAGGGTGCGGGATCTGTGAGCATGCGCAGTGGGGTCTCGAGCGCCAGAAGCGGCGCCGCAGTCACGCCCAGGGGCCAGGCGGGCGCGGGGTGGGGGCAGGGAGGACGCTTACCTCTGGGTGCTTACGCCGCATGTGTCTGCTCATGGAGGCCCTGGTGGACACCTTGGTCCCACACAGCTGGCAGCTCTGTGCCTCCACCTTGTCGTGGGTAAGCTGCACGTGCTTCTGTAGCATGTACTCCGTGACATACTTCTTGTCACACACGGAGCATGTCCACTGCTTGCCCACTTCACACACACACACACGGGGAAGAAACGACAAGCACAGGTCACGAGCAGGTCGTGCCACAGTCCACAGAGCAGGGGAGAGGGGGCTTTGCCCTTGGCATGTGCTGCCAGGTCAGGGCTGGGGAACAGGAAGCACAGGCCGTGACGAGTAGGAGAGTGGCCCACGCCGTCACCGGGCGTGGCGTCAGGTCACTGCTCCGGTATTTGAAAACTCAAGAATGGATATTTGAAAGTTGTGATGGGCTGATTTTTAGGGGGCAAGGAGTCACCATTAAGGCAGGATGGGACCAAACATTCTGAAACAGCCTATATGATAGGGTCACACCCCGTCGTTCCCATCCCTGCGCTGGGGCAGTGTGGTGCGGCCTGGAACGTTCCGGCTGCACCCTGCTTACCTGTGTGGATGAGCTTGTGGGTCTCCATCGTGTTTCTTTCACTGAAAGTCTTTCCACACAATTCACACATGAAATCTTTAATCCCTGCAGAAAAAGACGCGCTTAATTACACGTGTTTTACAGGGCTTTACTTTAACTACTCACAGAGGGTGTCTTGTCCCTGACATGGTTCAGAATTTGGAGAGGCTGCAGGGGAAGGTAGATTACCAGGAGACACACAGTAAACATTTACTTTCACACGCATCAGAAAACAGTGGCCTGGAAAACGTGCCCTCTGTAGGTGGTTTAGCAAGCTGCTTTGCAGAAAGGGTGGCAGGTCAGTTTCAGCCCAGGGCCCTGGGCCCACAGAATGTGCCAGACATTCTGAATTCTCAGAGTCTGATTCAGTGAGCTTTACTCTGCATTCGCTCAGGAAAACAGAAGGTAGGGCCGGCCGAGTGGCGTGATGGTTAAGAGCTGGCTTGGGACGCCAGAGGGCCCCGGTTCGGATCCCACATATGAGGGCCAGTGACACTGCCCTCTACAGCTAAGA